CCCTCCTCCTCTCCCGCGGCGGGCCCCCGTGCCCCAGTGCCCCGCTTTGCAGGCCCCCCCCACCTGCCCCGCAGGCCAGAGAGAGTCAACGATGCCGGCGCGACGACGAGGCGAGGTTGACACCCGTCGGGGGGGTACCCCCCCACGCTTATCAAGAAGCCTTGGTATTGGGGCGGTTTCGAGACGCTCTTGGGGCCCTCTTGGGTCCCACTTGTGCCGTCTGGTTGAGAGGCTTCAAAGCCCATCGGGGGAGAAATGGCCAGCAGGTGCTTCCCGCTTGGTTATCTCAGGCTTTTGGAGGGGATCTGGCTTATCCAGGGCGTCCTGGTGCTCCGTGGCCACTTGGAGCGGCCTGTGGAGTTTGGAGGCGATTTGGGGTCTACACTTATGTATATTGCGCTATCGTGTGCCACCCTGGAGGCCCTCTTGACCTATCTGAGGCCTGTCTGACCCTTGCGTCGAACGATACCCTCTGGCACCTCGCGGCGCGGCCCCCCCCCAGGAGGCAGGAGGCAGGAGGAGGGGTAAAGCTACACTCCCCCCCCGAAGGGCGGCTGTCTTACCCGCCATCCCACTACATTTTTAAGTCGGGCGCGTGCCCCTCTACAGGAGGAGTGCTCAAGTGTGGTAACACAAAGAGTCTGGGGACGATGTTTCGTGCTCTTTTGACTATTTGTTCGTTATGTATATGTGCAATCCGAAACCAGCCTGTAGGAGGACATGCCTGACTTCGCACTAGCACCCGAGTCTCAGCATAGGCAGGGGCCGCCAGCGACAACCATCGGGAACCAATGCAGACGCCAGCCAGCTGCGCGACCCCAGCGAGACGCGCCCCGCGTGCCAGGGCAGCATGCACAACGTATAACGCAGGATTTACATACTGCAGCATGATCAATGCACAATGCAACATGCTCGCGTAGCAATGCAACATGCGCCGCGTACCAGTGCACAGTGCAACATGCTCGCGGGTGCACCCGCATGGTCAAAGATTCGCCGCAGCGTGCAATCTGAATCAAGGAGGGTGGGCCTTCGCGCACTGGCCAGTGTGCTGCCACCCCCGCCGTCCCTGAAACTTTTCCTGGCGAAGGACCCAGCCATATGCAGTTGTGGGTACCGCAATTGTGAATATCCTCTTCGGTGGAGCCCCCTATGAGGCCACGAAGCGCTGCACTGGGTGGGGTGGAACGGTTGCGGGCGGTAGTGCTGGGGCCGTCGGTGGAGCTCCCGATGAGGCTACGAAACGCTGTACTTGGTTGGGGGGGCGCATGCGGGCGGTAGACCTGGGCCGGCACAGAAACGGAAAGAGCGTTTCAGAAACAGACACCGAAATTATTCACACCACCGTTCGTACTGGGAGCCTTGGCTTTGAGAGCTTGTTACGTCACCCCTCGCTCTTGGGAGCCTCGGTGTTCAGAGATTGTTGCGTTGCCGCCCGTTCCTGAGCCTTGGCTGGGCCTTGGTGTCAGGAACTTGTTACGTCACCGCTCTCTGCTGGGAGCCTTGGTCTTATCAGCTTGTTTACGTCACCGTTCGCTCTTGGGAGCCATGGTGTGAAGAGCTGTTTGCGTTACCGATCGCTCTTTATTTGGCGGCTCTGGGCCTTCTTGGGAGTCCTATTGGGGCCCTTTTGCAGTCCTTTTGAAGCCTCTTGAGAACCTCTTGGGGGCCTCTTGGAGCTTCTTGGGGAGCTCTTGGGGCCTCCTGGGAGCTTCTTGGGGCGAAAGGCTAAACTTTTCGGTTCGTGGTTCCCCTCTTGGGGCCGTCTTGGGGCCCTCTTGGGCCGTCTTGGGCGCCTCTATGGCTGTCTGGGGGCCCTCTTGGGTCGTTTTGGGGGGCCTCTTGGGAGCCTCTTGGACCGTCTTGGGGCGGTCTTGGGGGCCTCTTGGGCCGTCTTCAACGCCGTGAAAGCCGAAAAGCCGTGCATGCTTAAAATGCACCTTTTTCCAACCGGAAATCTATGATTTTTGCCTCCTGGTGGCCTCTTGGGACGCTTCTTGGGGGCCTCGCATCCTGGGAGCGCCTCGGTGCGAAAGGCTAGGCTTTTCGGTTCGTGGCCCCCCTCTCTTGGGGCCGTCTTGGGGCCCTCTGGGGCCGTATTGGGCGCCTCTGGGGCCGTCTGGGGGCCCTCTTGGGCCGTTTGGGGGACCTCTTGGAAGCCCCTTGGGCCGTCTTGGGGCGGTTTGGGGGGCCTCTCTGGCCGTCGCCCACGCCGTGAAAGCCGAAATGCCGTATATGCTAACAACGTACGTGTTCCTATGGAAAATCAATGATTTTGGCCTCTGGGGGCCCTCTTGGGACGCCCCTGAGGCCCCTCTTGGGGGCCTCTTGGGCCGTCTTGGGCGGTCTGGGGCTCTCTTGGAGCGCTCTTGGGCCGTCTTTGGGGGGAACCTGAAAATTAGCATGACGAAGGACCCAACCAGATGCAGGTGTGAGTACCGCAATTGTGATTCACTTTTTCGGTGGTGATCCCTACGAGGCAACGAGCCGTGCTAGGGGTGTGCCGAAATGAGTGGCGTGGTACACAACGCGAGCGAAAACGATTGATCTGAGTACGTAAGGAGACTGAGCGCGGGTGAATCTGAGCGCGAGTGCGTCTGGCTGTGAATGAATCTGCGTGCGAGCGAGGAGGACTGCGCCACGGGGACCTTCGGCGGAGCCCCTATGGGGCCACGAAGCGCTGTACTGGGTGGGGGGGACGCATGCGGACTGCGCCACGGGGACCTTCGGTGGGGTCGATGGGGCTCCATATGGGGCCACGAAGCGCTGTACTGTGGGGGAGACGCATGTGGACTGCGCCACGGGGACCTTCGGTGGGGCTCTATATCGGGCCACGAAGCGCTGTACTGGGTGGGGGAGACGCATGCGGACTGCGCCACGGGGACCTTCGGTGGGGCTCCCTATGGGGCCACGAAACGCTGTACTGGATGGGGGAGACGCATGTGGTACACACTGCTGGGGCCTTAGGTGGACCTCCCTATGGGGCCACGAAGCGCTGTACTGGGTGGGGGAGACGCATGTGGTACCCACCACTGGGGCCTTAGGTGGGGCTCCACATGGGGCCACGAAGCGCTGTACTGGGTGGGGGAGACGCATGTGGTACACACCAGTGGGGCCTCAGGTGGACCCCCCTATGGGGCCACGAAGCGTTGTACTGGGTGAGGGGGACGCGTGTGGTACACACCACTGGGGCTTTAGGTGGACTTCCCTATGGGGCCACGAAGCGCTGTACTGGCTGGGGGGACGCATGTGGTACACACCAGTGGGGCCTCAGGTGGACCTCCCCATGGGGCCACGAAGCGCTGTACTGGGTGGGGGAGACGCATGTGGTACACACCACTCGGGCCTTATGTGGACCTCCCTGTGGGGCCACGAAACGCTGTCCTGGGTGGGGGAGACGCATGTGGTACACACCACTGGGGCCTTAGGTGGACCTCCCTATGGGGCCACGGAATGTTGTCCTGGGTGGGGGAGACGCATGTGGTACTCACCATTGGGGCCTTAGGTGGACCTCCCTATGGGGCCACGAAGCGCCGTGCTGGGTGTGGCGGACGCATGTGGTACACCCCACTGGGGGTGGGGGGGCACGGGAGAGGAGGGGAGGAGGGAGCAGGAGAAGGACGAGGACGAGACGCGGGGACCGTCTCTTCAAAACGAGGACCCAACAACACAGGTTGGTTGGGACAAACAACGAACAACATGCAAAAACCCTAGGTAAAACCCGAACATTGCCATTACCAACCCTGCGTCCCCCCCTCGCCCCTCCCCTGGACCCCTCCCTAGAGGGCTTCGCCCCAACTCAACGTCATCACTCGTACCTCGCTCTTTCCGTGACCTGGAACCTTCGGTGGATCTCTTTGTGGGGCCACGAAACGCTGTATTGGGGTGGGGGGGCGCATGCGGGCGGTAGCATTTGGACCTTCGGTGGAGCGCCTTATGGGGCCACGAAACGTGTCAGGGGTGTGCCGAAATGTGTGCGGGAAACGCATGCGGACAGAAACACTGGGGCCTTCGGTAGAGCTCCCTATAGGGTCATGACACGTGTGAGAGGTGTCTGGGGCCTTCGGTTGAGCTCCCTATGGGGCCACGAAACGTGTGAGGGGTGTGCCAAACTGGGTTTTCGGGACGCATGCGGGCAGTGGCACTGGGGCCTCGGTGGAGCTCCCTACGGGGCCACGAAACGTGCGCGGGCTGTGCCAAATTTGGTTTTCGAGACGCATGCGGGCGGTCCTACTGGGGGCCTCGGTGGAGCTCCCCATGGGGCCACGAAACGTGTGAGGGGTGTGCCAAATTTGGTTTCTAGGACGCATGCGGACGGTCCCACTGGGGGCTTCGGTGAAGCCCCCTATTGGGCCAGGATGCGTTGTACTGGGTGGGTGAAACGCAGGGTCGGGTTTCCGGGACGCATGCGGACGGTGGCACTGGGGCCTTCGGTTGAGCTCCTTACGGGGCCACGAAATGTGTGAGGGGTGTGCCAAATTTGGTTTCCGGGACGCATGCGGACGGTCCCACTGGGGGCTTCGGTGGAGCTCTCTATGGGGCAACGAAACGTTGTACTGGGTGGGTGAAACGCAGGGAGGAGGGGGAGGAGGGGGAGGAGGGATGAGGAAGGAGTGAGAATCGCGAGGCGCGGTCTCTTCAAAACGAGGACCCAACACCACAGGATGTTGGGAACAACAATGGAAAGTGATGGTGGGGCGCTCGAGCACTGTCAGAATCTTGTCGGGAAGTTTATATTGATTGTTTTTTGGGTGAGAAGGATTGTTGGGGTGCGGGGGGGTCGGCATTGGTCCTGGTTAAGGGTTGGTTGAGTGGGGGAGGGGGTTTAGTGAGCAGGAGAAGTGATAAACCCTTCTCGAAGAGGAATAATGCGGCTGGAGGAGCCAGCACGTTAAACCACCTGCGCCTAAAGGCTTGGTGGGATTGATAAGGAGCAGTGATGGTCAGGGGAAGAAGGGGAATTGACGAACAAGCTCGTTCTGCCATCAGCCCCCGTCGCCTAGGCACCTGAAGCCGCCGCATGCCCCGCCGACACTGAACACCTTCACGACGTTCACTGCTTTCCGCTGCGCAACCGGGATGTTCTATTACGGCACGGGCAATATTCACCACGTCGACCACCGCTTTGTCGAGTGCGGCACCGGCCATTTCATGAATCACCTGTCCAACGAGCTAAACACAAAGCCGTTTTTCTTGGATTTGCTTCTTGTTGGTAACATCGACCCCACAGCCCAATTGTCAAATGGGGTTGGCCTGGGCGTACGGGCGCCGAAGGACAATGAGCATTTCTTCGTATCAGGCATGAAAGTCATCAGTTACTTCGACACTCCTGCACTGTACGGATGCTTCGACACCATGTGTACCATGAGATTCGAGAGAAGTGAGTGGTACAACTCCTCCGTGCGCACTACCAGCAGCACAGGCATATCTGGCATCTTTCACGACCTCGACGGGTCACTCACTGGATTCCCGAACGGCTTCGTGGCGATGCACACGCCCTTCAACGAATTCGACGGTTTGTGCCATGTCACCGATCAGCACAGAGGCGGGATCGTGTGTGGCAAGCCCGACGGCTCACTGCGCATGCGTCGGCTCTATTTGCACGATCAAGATCCTTGGCAGCTTGACGACAAAGACCTGACTGTGCAGACGAACATTTCAGAGGCCATTATCCCCTTCACTGTATTGAAACTGTATGGATGGGCTGTGCCTGTGGTGAGCGAACATGAGTACGACTTGAAGATCGATAATGAGAATGACTTCCAGCAGCTCACGCTCGACTACGGAGGCTCTTGGGGATACGTCTTCGAGCAGCATGGTTGGACCACCGTCATCACACCACAGGACGAAGGCGTCGTAGCTCACCTCAACTATTCCACCTGGCGTGACCATTTCGACGCGGCCTTTGAGAGTTTACATGGAAGCACGGCGCGTATCAGCAAGGAGCCGTCCATGGATGACCCGTTTGGGTCGTATTCCATGAGGCTCTGGCCGCACCAGTGTGAGTCTTACAACCTCACCGACGAGAGCCGGCACATCTGCAGCGGGGCGTACGTCAATCAGACAGGTCTGGCCATCAAGGCTGAATTCGAGGAGCAGTTGCACTTGCCCCAGGTAGGGGGCCGTCTCACCACGTCCCTCTCCGCGCACATCGACCAGCCCGGGTCACTGTGGCAGACGTTCTGGGCCAGGGAGTGCCCTGACGAGGGCTGCCCGGAGCCCATAGTCTACGACGAGTCCATCGTGCGCCCCATGAGATTGTGGTCGGACGCTTCTGCCTGGCCCTCTGGTCGGCTGCCAGAAGAGGGCGACACGGTCGTCATCAATGCCACGGATTGGGTCCGGCTCGACATCGAGACACCGTTGCTTCAGTGGTTGGTCGTAATGGGGCGGTTGGATTTCGCTCGCAACGTGAGCACCAGGTTGAACATCCATTCAGCGAAGATTTGGGGCACTGTTGAAATTGGGACCGCGGATGACCCGATACCTCCTGAAGTGAACGCAACGGTGGCGCTATACGGAGAGGAGACGGACCATACTGTTGTCATGGTCGAGGGCCTCTTCATGGTCAACAAGGTGTTTGGAGTGCTCGGCACGCTCACCGCGTTCGGGTCAGACATCAACTGCACGTTGTTTGCCAAATTGTACGCCACGGTCGAGGCTGGGGCGCAGGAGATGGTGCTGAGAGGCAACGTGAGCGAGTGGCCAGCGGGCGCGGAGATTGGCATCTCTGCCACAGAGTACCCACAGCCTCCCTTGACGACGGATACGGAAGTTGTCAACATTGAGGGGCAGCCTTTCTACGACCCAACTTCGGACACCACGCTTGTCCGCCTGAGCCAGCCCCTTAGTAACCGACATTTCGGCGGCGAGATCCCGCAGGACGGAGGGGGGCACTGGCCGACAGTAAGGTTGGCGGCAACTGTGGCGCTGCTCTCAGGCCGCTCGAATGTCGTCTTTATGACTGGGGATACACATACCGACCACGGGGGCCACGTCATGATTGGAGGCTCTCAGGACGGCGTGTGGGTGGGCTCCGTGAACTTGCGAGCCGTAGACTTTGTGATGATGGGCAAGTTCTTCCACGAGTACCCGGCCTTGTACTTCAAGTTCCAGGGTTCGAGCATCGGAGCGGGTAACAGCAGCACTGTAGATCGGTGCCTCTTCAGTTTTTCGCAGGCTGGCGGGGTGGCGGGCGATGGGGTGCACCACCTCACGCTCAGCAGCAACATCTTCCACCGGACGTACCGCACAGCCCTGTGGATCATGAGCACGGCGCTCGGGGATGGCATCGTAGTGCAAGGCAACGTGGCTATCGAGACGCTGCGCCATCCACTCGAGTCCACCGGCTGGGTCATCGGCTTCGCCGCCTTCCTCATCGAGGTGCCTGTAGCGAGCCTCGTCGGTAATATCGCCGCTGGCTCCGCGGACACCGGCTTCATGATCAAACCTTCGTTGGACGCCTGCGTTGAGGGGGATTCTGGACTGGCGCCACTGGAAGAGGAGCTGATTAACGAAGCCGTAGCGTGCATGACAGGTTTCTTTGTCTTGCGCGGTTGCGCGGATGATTGCGACAGTTGCGCTACGCTTCGCGGGGTGGTAGCCTGGAAGAACAGCCACATCGGTATCGTCACGGTGGACCAGAACACGAATTTCCGCATGGATTCCGTGCTGGTGTCCGATAACCACATCGGTACATCCTTGCATTTCCAACGGTCCCGCGAAGACAACGAGCACCGGGTGTACATGCACAACGTTACCATCTTCGGCTCCACGAGCGCGTCCACGTGCGACGCGTCCATCTGGTGCCGCGCCTACGGCAGGTCGGACGCAGTGGGCTCGAGCTGCAACTCCGTGGTGGGGTCTGTGTTCCGGCGGGTCGGCTTCCTCTCCCACATCGTGAACAGCATTGGGAAGACGTGCGCGTTCGGTGGCATGATGCCGATATGTCGGCCTCCGAACCGGCCACAGAAGATGTGCGTGATGCCGTGGGAGCACCGTCTCGGCAGCCACGGCTCGCGATACTCGGAGGTGGTCTGGACCTCGCCCACTTTCGGGCACTTCCGCAGCGACGACTGCGGCCTGCCGTCCGTGGCCTTCACAACGAACCCCACGGCGATCGACACGTTCCACCCGAGCCGCTTCTCCGATGTCGCCTGGCTCAGCACGGCGTCCAGCGACTCCCGCCTCAACCTCGCCGATTGGTCCGGCGCCGCCTCGTGGAACCGCGTCGGCTGCGGCGGGGCGTGCGACGGCATTCTGCAGGCGGCCGTGCTGGACATGGACGGCAGCCTGCTGGGCGCCGGGGCCGCAGGCTCCGCAGTGACGAGCGCGAACCCCGACCTCGCGACGAGCTCGTGCGAAGAGCGGTCTGGCCATTTTGCCTGCCCGGGGCTCGACCTGCGGGTGCTCTGGTGGGAGGCCTACGACGTCGGCATCCCCGCGGTGTTCAGCCGGTTCAAGGCCTGGCGCGAGTCGGACGACACGTCCACTTGGTCCTCTGGCCCTCTGGACGACGGCTGCATCCCAGACCCCCCCGACCGGGACCGGTATTGGCTCCTCAAGCCCAGCGACCGATACAACCTGACCATGTTCTCCTCGCCTCCAAAGCACCACCGGCTGTTCTACTTCAGCGAGAGTGCGGACTCGATTCGGATAGACATCTTCCTCACCCAGCCCTTTCAGCTGCAGGTCTACGTGGACGACGTTCTGCTCGGGGACGAGTTCGACACGAGCATCGCCTGCCCAACCTGCGCCCCCTCACCGAGCCCGGAGCCCGAGGTGGAGCCGGAGTCGGAGCCCGAGGCGGAGCCCGAGTCCGAGCCGGAGTCGGAGCCCGAGTCGGAGGCAGAGTCCGAGCCGGAGTCGGAGTCGGAGCCGGAGTCTGAGCCCGAGTCGGAGCTCGGAGAAGACCAAGTGCGTAAGCAGGAATTGTCGGAGCTCCGCGCGGATCTCCCAGAACGGCGCTATAGGGCCCCGTGGCGGCGCTTCCGGCGCCGATCCAAGGTTCTTGGATCGGCGCCGGAAGCGCCGTCACTGGACTTCCGAAAGTTTCTGTTTACTACCAGCCTGGAACATCTCCCCATCCCTACGATTAGCATCACCTGGTCTCGATGCCGATCTCAGGAGTTCCGTACACCTGTGAGGGCGCGCCCCTCAGAGTGTCATCGCATTTGGGCCCTGGCGCTCTTGTGGGGAAGGACCTCATGGAAGGATCGGGTGGGGGCTGGTCAGTTTAGCTACGCAGTTGCTCTTCCTCCAGGAGTCGGAGCCGGAGTCCGAGCCGGAGCCCGAGGCGCAGTCGCCTAGCCCGGCCGAGGTCACGTCGCGGACGGTGGCCCGGCTGCCGGTGCTGTCCGATCCTCACGGCTCGCACGCTTTCGACCCCCACGCGCGGCGCTTCTATCTTGTGCTGCGCGGCGGCACGCACAACGGGAAGGATCCGACGAGCCGGGAGGGTATCCATAACCACTGCTTGGGGGATCGATTCTCGGGGACTTCGGCAGGTGGTGGATACGGCTATATTCAGGCCCCCGGGGGCCAGCATACGTTCGTGTCCACCACCCGCTATGGTGCCAGGAGGTCGGTTTCATAGGCGGTGGATATAGATGCATCCCCGCCTCGCAAAGGAGGCCACCAAGGGAGGCGGGTTCATTATGGTGAAGATGCTTCAGGTCGTGCAGCTCTCCATCACTCTGTCCACCCCTGTGACTGAGTTCGATAGCACAAGCTTCATCGGCAATTTAGCGACGCTTCTCCAGATCGACCCCTCTCGCATCAAGATTGTATCTGTGCAGACTGGAGCCCGTCGGCTTCGCCGGCTCGGACCTGGGAACGCGCCGACGCCTGCACCAACGCCCGCGCCGACGCCAGCACCGACCCCAACACCTACGCCAGCACCAACGCCAGCGCCCACGCCCGCACCGCCCACAGCACCTACCCCAGCCTCTGGCGTGGCGCTTACAATCCAGATCGCAGAAGAAGAGGTCGCGGCGGCCAATGC